TTCTAACATTTAGAACGGATTGCAATAGAAAATTGATTTTGGATTATATATTTCAGCACGAAACTCACTATATAAGCCAACTTTTTGCTATATAAGCTAATAAGCAATAGGCCAAAATATAAGACGTGTTGTCATTCTAATCGTGCTTTTAGACTCGGCAAGGGTGATTAGACTAAAATGGAAACAATTTTACTCTTTTGGTGAAAAGTGTTATTGTTGATATTTAAACTCATGGCCAAGTTTTCCTAAGCCATAACCTATTGTGTAATGACTAATTGTTTTCAATTGTAATAGGCAATGAACGTAAAGAATCCTAACTAATTGTCTTTAACTTTCCAATCATTTTAGAGGCTGCTCAATAAAATTGAAAATTAAGTACGGAAAATTCAGTGTTGAATTAGTGGGGGTCAAAATGTGACAGCATCAAAAAAATTTCCTGGACCCTAAAGTAACTTCTCATTATTTCCAAATGTTACATAAGTTGGTGGGTGATTGTGGCATGCATGTGCATTCACCATATAATTTTGTTAAGATTCATATACTATGTTAGAGTATCTCTAGGATTTGCGAATGTATATCGCATATGTCATGTTTTGTAATTGATTAAAGTTATAAATGAAAAAGAAGATAGGATGTTGTTGATCATTTGTAAGTAAGGTTATGAGTTAGGTTATTGTTATTTATTTTGGGGCGTTACAGATTATACACTGGTAATATCATCCAAAGATGGATATAAGTTATTTACATTGCTTAGGTAACAGTTGCTTGGGGTGAGATATTATTGAAATTAGGGCAACGCAGAATTTGTTGCATATTTGGTGATGAAAAATATATATTTCCGTTTGTTTTAATTGAATTTTGAAGTCATCTTCACCAAGTACAAGAAATGGGTTAAGTAATAGTTCTTTTGTTAATAATCTCTTTGAGGCAGTTGATGTGATTCAAAGTCTTCTATTTTGTAGAATCCTCTAGGAAACTTCCCTTGAATGTAGAACTTTCCACCACTTGATAAAAATGGGAGCTGATACACCAGTTTCTTAATTTCAAATTTAATTTAAATTTCTATATAACTTTTTTCATATTATAGAATTAAAAATGGTTTGTTGGTTGTTAATTTTGTGTAATTTTAGTGATTAACACAATAGGATGGATTGTGTGATTTTGAACCTAGAGTAGTTTTTGACATCTTATTACGGAGTTGCATATTCTTAACTTATGCATCAGATTTGTTACATTTTTATTCAGATCATTCTTCATTTAGAGAATGGTCTAAATAAAACTTTTGAGATCACTAAATTTACTGTTGTCGAATGGAAGTGTGTCATGTTTCAAAACGTGTATACTAATATATAATTTGTTAGGGTATTAGTATTTTCTGGGAACACAAATTTAGACCCTATGCCCATTCACCCTACTGATTCGTATTTATTTGTTTGTTAATCTAACAGTTTATGTTATTCGATTTTTGGTTTCTTTCCGAAAAGGAATCTATATATAGTTTTTTTGTTTTTGTGTGGTTATGTTGAACTCTCATATTAGAATTAAGTGTGAGATTTTCTACAATTCAACGTTTTCCTCTATATATGCATCAAACTGTTAATATTTTTCCAACTTGTGTTAGGAATTCAACTAAGATATTAGTAATAATAACAGCAAACAGTTATGGAAAAACAATTTTAATAGAGTTGTGTTCCTTATTTATTTAAATTATGGGTTTTTTTATATTAAAAAAAAATGGGCACCAGCAATGGGCATGAGATCACGCACCTTGCGCGGCCATCTCAAGAGTATATATTAGTTACTGAACTGTGCCAATTTGATTGAGAAACTTAGTTCTGGGTTTGATTCTAAAGGTAAGGATTTTGGTTATCTGATTTAGAATTTCTCTTAACTCTTGAGCTTCACCGTTGATGCTCACAACTGATGAACCACGTGCTTAATTAAATGTTGTATATAAATACCATAAAATATTATTTTATGTTTAGTTGTAAATACCACATGCTTAGTTATGTGCTCTGTAGCACCGTATCAAATTTTGGAATTAGTTCCTCTAGTACTTGCAATACATGTTGGTTGTACAAATACTTGAAATGTTATGAGAATATAGCTGTTGGCATTTCTGGCTGTGGGCTTTTATGCAAGTTCAACACAGTTTTAGTTTTCCCATCACATATTTGAAATGCAAGTTCTATTTTTTGTTTTGCTTGGGTGGTTCTCTTGGATGGCATTACAATGCGTGGTTGTGCAGGAATTTTAGTCCATGGGCATTTCATGTCGCAACTGATAAAACTGTATATATTGTTTCAGTGAAGGAATAATGCATGTAATTTCATAACCCAAAAAGTGCTCACACTTGTTTCTAATGATCTCTCATCTTTAAACTGTCCTTTTCCTTCTTCTTTATTTTTATTTTTTAAAGATGGGGAGCTTTAAGAAATCTTTAAGTCAATTTCAGAGAGAGCAAATAAAATATGCATGAGATCCCTAAATCATAGGATTACCATCACCTACATTAAGGTTTAAACATTTAATTTTATCTAGGTGGAGATGGGAGGTTGATGGGGTTATGCTTAAAGGAGCTTAAATTTCCTTTTTAAACTAACCATTGCCCTTAAAGCTTCTTCTAAAAGTACAAACTTGCAGAACTTGCTGCATCATTCATTTTGAAGTGTGGTTCAGAAAGCCCAAGGGATCATAAAGTTTGTTCACATTTGTATAGTTGAAGGGATAGCCCATAGGCGTGATAGTATAGAAATGGCTTTCTCCTAAAATTGTTTTGAGGGTTATGGATCTTGATGTCATTGGTTAATGGATGATTTTTAAAGTCCTGAAAGTGTGAAAAAGACCTCAAAAGTTTGTTTGAAATTTTTGGACGGGAAGGGAAAGAAAACATCTATTAGTATTTTTGATTGACTACCATAATTTTTCGAAAAGGCTTCATTATATGAGTATTTCTATAACCATATTTCAACAAAAGAAGATGGATGAATAAGGAGTTGGAATTTTTGATGGACTACGATAAGTTTTCTATCTGAAAAACTGATCTAGAAGAAGTAATATTTTTCTAATTTCTTTGAATTGGATAATAAAGCTTAGAATTGTCTATGTGTTTGACCATGCTTAAATTTGGCTTGATTCTTCTAGTATTCAGATTTTGATATGAAGAACTCTGATAGATGGCCTGGTGGTGGTGGAGAGGAAGCAACACAGGATAATAAAAAAACAGGGAGTCTAGAGCCAGAAAAACATGTACTTTTTGCCCATTGATGCATTTTGATGCAAGTTTTTTTTTAAAAATTAGTGAGAATGGAGATATAATTCATTATACAAGATATAGTTTTACAAAGAAATTTGCAATAGAAATTATCCCTTTTAGTATCTGTCCTGTTTAAGTATTGATTAGATTCATGACTTGATTTTTCTGCTCTAGAAATTTTTAGTTCACACATTAATTCTCAAGTTGTAGAATGACTCTTATGTTTTCCAGTCAACATATCACAAAATCAAGGGACAGCCAGGGCACTTAAGCTAGGGAATTGATCTGTTGTTTTCTTACCATTGGAAGCTGCTAGATGGTAGAGAAAGCATGTGTAAAGCGCCTTCAGAAGGAATATAGAGCCCTTTGTAAAGTATGTCTTATTTCCTTTATATGTTTGCCAACTATAATGACCATAATCTATTATATATTATTCTCCCTTAGAACTTTAGTTTTTCTTTCCATTCTACTTTCCATCTAACGTTATGAAAAACCATCCTCTGGTTTATAGTTCAATTTCCTGTGGGACAGTGCTATTTGTGCTTCACTTCTTTATGGTTCTGTACCCCCTCTGCTTTATTGATTTTCAACCTGCACTTATTATGTGGAAAGTGGGACTATTGCTTGGTGCAATGGTGATAATGCGGAGAGCATGAAGCTGAAGTTGGGTTGCTTGAAATTTTTTTTCTTCTTTGTGGTTAAAATTATGTTTCAATTTCTTTTGCTCTACAACTTTTCTTGCTCTGCAAAATTTGTGGCCATCAACTTGTCCTTTTGACTTTGCTTCTGTGCAATGCTTATTGTATTGTGTTATGTCCTACTAATATTGTTGATGAATAGGCCATTCACCACCAAAATTTTGTAGTGCTTTGACTTTTTGTTATTTTCTATTTTGTATTTGCAGATGATAACTAAATCTAAATATGATGAAATTGATGGGACTTAAGGCTTGGTTTGGTTGGTTTGGTTTGGTTTGGTTTAAATGTGATGAAATTCCGTGTATTGATTTAGGGGGGGAAAAAAATTTTTTTTTCTTTTTGGCCAGAAAACATGAGAAAATCAAGGTAATTGTCTCAAAAACTTTCTCACTCTACTAAATTTTTTTTATTCAGACCAAATGTTATAATAATGCAGAATTGTTCATTTGTACCTCGAAAAATTTCTAGAATATTGTCCCATACAGGTGTTTAGAAATTGTTATAATGGTAATGGGTTTTGGTTAATAATTTTATTTTTTATTTATGGATCGGGCGTAATGGGTGGCATGACAGGTCCAGTCAGTTTTAAAATTCTGATTAAGGAATGAACTAAAGCAGTGTGCTTCAAGTGACCTAGGAAAATGCAATCTCATTTGTGTTCCATCTTTTATTCTAGCAGTGCCGTAAATGAACGTCAACGTGCTATATTAGAAGAATTGGCGAAGGAGGAAATTATTCATGAAAATAGCACATATGAGGGAAATTGGTAAGTTTTTAATGTATTTGTTTGCATATATGTGGATTTTATTTGCATATACGTTAAGACTATTGAGATTTTGAATTTTTGCTAATTTTTCATTATGACATTGCTTTTATGGGGTCATTGAATTATTTTATTAATTTTGGAAATGTTTTGTTGATGTTTTAAAATTTCTTGATCATTTCTTAATACCTCAATAAATATTTTTGTCGGTCAAAATTATTATGGTGTGTTCTCGTTGAGAGGTAAATTGCTTAATGTGAGGAAAGCAAGCCATAAACAGATCATGGAGAACGCTGAAATTCAGAGCATCAAGCAGATTCTTGGACTTCAGCGTGGAAAACAGTATGACAGTGTGAAGACTTTGAGATATGGTCATTTGATGATCATGACTGATCAGGTTTTAAACATTTTTACATTTTATTGTTGATCATGACAGTGAGATATGATCAGGTTTAAAACATTTTTACATTTTATACTTTGAGATATGGTCAGTTGGTCATTTGATGATCATGACTAATCAAGCCATAAACAGATCATGGAAAACATTTTTACATTCTTGATCATGACAATGCTGTTACTGCAATGGACAATGGTGAAATTTTATAGTTGAGTTACTGCAATCAACTAGTCTGTTTGACATTTTTACATCATGTACTTTCATTTGTCATTTTTGTTTTTTACTTTCATACTATTTCTGTCTACTGTGCATATGTAGTTTTGAGTGTTTTAATTATTATATGATGTACTTATTCGGTTTTCATTTTATTTTTCACATTCATACAGTTGTTATCTATGCATTTCTAGTTTTGAGGGCTGAATCTTGGCTAAATGAACTACTGCCCGAATCAATGTTTTTCCATCCTGTTATTGTTATTGCTGTTAGTTTTTTTCTCTGTCAAGGCACGAAAAGGACAATTCACAGCTCATTTATATGACAAAGAGTCTTGAATTTTGTTCGCAAATAGTATATAATTTTTTATCATCATGCAGGTGGATTCTATAGTTTACCTTGTTGACGCATACGACAAAGAGAGATTTGCAGAGGCCAAAAAGGAGCTGGATGCCCTTCTCTCAGACGATTCACTTGCAAATGTCCCGTTTCTCATACTTGGGAACAAGATTGACATACCCTATGCTGCCTCAGAGGATGAGTCAAGATATTACTTGGGTTTGACTGGTGTTACTATCGGTAAGGGTAATGTTGACCTCGCTGACTCAAATGTCTGTCGTATTGAGGTCTTCATGTGCAGTATCGCGCGCAAGATGGGATATGGCGATGGCTTTAAGTGGCTTTCCCAATACATTAAGTAGGAGAATCGGAGAATGGTTTAAGAAGCAAGCGAATGTGCAAAGGCATCTAAGGGTAACTTTCATGACACTACTGCATGAATGGATATATTGGGAATGTAAAGTTTAATATGTAGCTTTTACCTTGTTATCTTGCAAACAGTCTTGCTATTTTTTTGGTGGGGAAGGTTAAGTTGATTCTGTTCTCTCTCTGTGTCTGTCTCTCTTTGTACTTGACACGATTGTAAAGAAATAAAGTTGTGTTGTAATGTTTATGATTGATGGCGAAATATTCCGATCTTTTGCATTCCATGGCAACTGAGAGTGTGAAATGTTGTACTTTTGTCCCAAATTCCCAATAGCTTTTGCTAATCAAAGCCCCAAAACTAGCAAGGGCACTCGTGCCCCAGTAAGTTATACTTTTGCCGACTAAATAGGATTTGGTCGCGAATAGGTCTATTGCCGACTAAAGTTTTAGTTGCGCAAAACAAGTTTGGTCGCGGAATGTGACAATTGGCGACTAAACAATTTGGTCGCGGAATGTGACAATTGGCGACCAAAATTTTTTGGTCGTGGAATGTCACAATTGGCGACCAAACTTTTTGGTCGTTGAATGTGATAATTGGCGACCAAACTTTTTGGTCGCGGAATGTGACAATTGGCGACCAAAATTTTTTGGTCGTGGAATGTCACAATTGGCGACCAAATTTTTTGGTCGTTGAATGTCACAATTGGCAACCAAACTTTTTTGTCGCGAAATGTGTCAATTGGCGACTAAGATATTTGGTCGGGAAAATATCACTTTTCGCGACCAAAGTGTTTTAGCGACAAAATGGATTAGTCGCAGTAATTAAATATTTAGCGACCAAAAATTTAGTTGGCAAATCCAACTTTTGCCAACCAACTAAAATTTTGGTCGCGAATTACTTTTGCCGACCCTCAATTGGCGACCAAAGTAGCGATCAAAAAAATTGGTCGCGGATAACTTTTGCCGACTAAAAATGAACTTTTAGCGACCAATTTTTTGGTCGGCAAAAGTGTTAATTCTTGTAGTGATATAAGCCAACTTTTCTCTATATAAGCTAATAAGCAATAAGCCAAAATAAAAGACGTGTTGTCATTCCAATCGTGCTTTTAGACTTGGCAAGGGTGATTAGACTAAAATGGAAACAATTTTATTCTTTTGGTGAAAAGTGTTATTGTTAATATTTAAACTCATGGCCTTGTTTTCCTAAGCCATAATCCTATTGTGTAATGACTAATTGTTTTCAATTGAAATAGGCAATGAACCTAAAGATTCCTAACTAATTGTCCTTAACTTTCCAATCATTTTAGAGGTTGCCCGATAAAACTGAAAATTAAGTACGGAAAATTTAGTGTTAAATTAGTGAGGGTCAAAATTTGACAACATCAAAAAAATTTCCTGGACCCTAAAGTAACTTCTCATTATTTCCAAATGTTACATAAGTTGGTGGGTGATTGATCATACCACAACAATCTTAAGTTTAAATCAAGTACCATATCATTACAAAATTGATGATGTTTACACTGAATGTCTCTTTTCCACTTTCTTATACACATAATCTTGTTTGCAAACAATGATTTTTGTCACTCCGGGACAAGTAGTTCATGAAAATTGACTATATTCTCCATAGTTGTCTGCTGTTTTGTCTAGGCAGTTATAATCTTCTATGATTTGGAAGAAGATATGATAGAATTAATGTTAAAATAATATGATCTCTGGTACTGTTAGTTTCTTATTTAATTCTTCAGAGTACCTAGCTAAAAGATTACCCTAGATTCCTTGTGTTTCTAGTGTTTCATTGTGCGTGTGTTACGGTTGGCTTAGCTACAGTTGTATAGGTACATGTAAGTCATATCCATTGCTGCAACCATATGGTTTGAAAGAACTTCTGTTTCTGTCATTTATGTCCTTTGCTCCAAAAACCTGAAACAAAACATTAACCTCCTTATACAATTTCATATTTTCTTGATTACTAATAACTCCCTGCAGTGGAATCAGTTGAAGTTAGCTACCCTGAAGTAAAATCGGCCCCTAAACAAAACCTGGTACTACTTGTGGTCAAATTTTGATAAGACCTCGTGGTTTAAGTAGTATAATAAGAGGGAACATTACAATCAATGTTACTGGGAATGTCAATCATTTGGAAGAGTGAGAACTTGGTACATATTACAGAACATGAGGGTAGCTTATTTAGATCACATTAGTGGAATGGATTAAGCTACCTCCAAGTGTGAGACTGATTATCAACTAACAATTGGACATTTAATCAAATGTAAAATGCATGTTTACATACCTTTGAAGTTTTCCCATCGTCAAATTAATTATTTAAAAGCACATTTCTATGTATATCTCCTATATAAGTTGATCATACTAATGCAATATGGATCATGTTCATTAGATCTTTTGCCAACAAAACTTCACTCTTTCATTAATTCATTATAACTCATGTTTTTTTCATATACTAAGGCAATAAATGGGAAAAAATTATCAGATCGCCAACGTTTGTGTTTTCTGTTTTGGAATGGAAATGTAGCATTTCTGGAAGATTTGTTTTGAAAGGTAGATTACTAGGTACATTCTGAAACACCTTTTATGAAACTTCTGAGAACTATTATTTAAGTAACACAGACATTGACATATGACACCAATAAGGCACAACATGCACATTATTACCATGAAGGGATTCATCACATAGGTCATGTTCAGAAGGTTCAAAGTGTTGTCGAAGAGTTTGAGAAGTGTCTGATATTATGAATTTAAAATTTTTAATTATGACATGTTAAAGAAGTGTTGGACATGCATGCTTTTAGGAGTGTCTTCATAGTGTCATGTCCGCATGACACGCCTCCCCTATAGAAGTGTCCGTGTTTCTTAGGCTATTAGGGTTAAAAGCAACATAACTGAAAAATCTATAAATCCCCTAGATATTGATTTGTGATTATGTATCAATTTTAAGCAGAATATAACAATCCCAATCAAACAATCAAGACAAAGAGACACAACGATTTTAACGTGGAAAAAACCACAATTGGACACCTCCAACTGTGATAAAAAAACCACGGGCAACAGCCACAAAACAATCCACTAAGAAGATTTAAAGGAATTACACAGGTATACTCTCAATTATCTAGCGATTCCACGCCTAATTGAACCAACCTCTATGTGCCTCTTCCAACCCGTCTTCACCTCGGAATTCTCTTTACGATGAGCCACCCCGGAATCCACCAAAGCTTCAGGCTCGAATTCTTCAGAATCCACCGAAGAACAACTCTCTCTTTTGTAGAACAAAACACAACCTTTGATGTACTCTCTTTAAACCATGAGTTGAATACTCAATAAAAACATCAAAGAAAACTCACAAAGTATCCCCAGATATAAACCCTAAAATCCAAAAAGAAGATCTGGAGTAGTAATCCAAAAATTTGACCCAACACCGAATTTATAGAATCTGTCCTGCGATCTCCGCTCGAACGCCCAACAGCCCGCTCGAGCGTCTTCAGCAAAATATGCGCGTGATATAACAGAGGTCCGCTCGAGCGCTGGAGAACCCGCTCGAGCGCGAAATCACACCTTCCAGTATTTTTACAGACCTGACAAACTTCTGAAACCAGGGATTCTCCGCTCGAGCGGGGTAATGTCCGCTCGAGCGGACAGGCAACTTGGAATGCATTTTTGCATTTTGCTTCGGGGGCGCTGCCCCTCGACCCTGCCGTGGCGCTGCCCCGGACCCGCCAAGGGGCGCTGCCCCCTCGACCCCTGCTAGCTGACCAGGCGGCTCGATCCCCGTCATAATCAGCGAAGTGGCAATCTTGAAAGTATTAGCATCACAAACTTCTCTGAAAGGCACAATTCAGGTTGGATTCGCATCTAAGCACTCATAACTTCACTGAAATAAAAGTGCGAAAAAAATACAACTGAAAGGAGTTTTGTCAAACGGGGTTGCCAAGAATAAAACCTAACAATAACCTTAGTCTCTTTCAATCCCATAGCATAGAACCTTTCTTCTACCCTTGTAGACCCTATACATAGAAGCTTTCCTCGTCCCAAACCGACCATAAATTCCAATTGTATGTTGTAGTATTCCAAGTTTTCTAAAGATGTACTATATCATGTTGCAAATGTAACGCCCTCAAAATAATTACAATAATCTACCCACAATATCCAATATATGACAACAACAATAATAAGGTTATCTTTCATTAATTCAATATGATATACAAAAGACAAACATATGCATCATACATTCATAAAGCCTAGGCCTGAATCTATAGCATATGCTGACATTTTAAGGAGAGGAATGAAGATAAACAGACAAAAATGCCTTGAGGGCTTACATATTTCTAAGATCGTGCTTGGTTACAACAAAATGAGTCATCAGCTCAATACAAGTAAAGCCATAAACTTGAAAAGAAAATAAATACAAAATAAACAAAAATTTAGTCTTCAGCTCCACAGTCCTCCCAAGCTAAGTCCTTGACGGAAGCATATCACCAGTACCTGAAAATGGTTTTTCCCAAGTAGGGTGAGCCAAAGCCCAGTAGATTCAATATAACACAATATTTGAATCTTAACAAATGTATGAGTATGAAATGCAATGCCTATGACAAAATCATTTGTATTGTTACGAGATCATAATATGCTAAGTCTTATATCCCAAGCCATTTTAGTATTACTTTATTTCATGACAATTCATTTCATCTCAATCCATGAGTTAAATCCATTGTTACCCAGACAACCCAACTGAGGTTACAACCCAGTGGTTCTCTACCCAATTCAATCATCACATAAACACTTCAATTTTCATTTTATGGAAATTTCATCCGTGGGAATCAGCATCCATGTATGTACACGCGGTTTTCGAGACTTTCACCTTGAACACATAGGCCAACTTAATTCAATGGAGTCCATCCTCTTTCTCCTCCCAAACATGGAGTACATCCCCTTTCTCCTTCTAAACATCATACATATACTATGTATTAAAACACTGTCATATTCAATG